ACAATTGACTCCTTGGTCCGCCTGCGGGAGCTATTCAAGGCGTATTGATTTCTCCTCGGAAGAAATTCATGTAACGTTTTCTTCTGTACAAGATTATCTAAAGGTTTCTAAATTCAGAGAACGATTTAGCCTTTTCGTAAATCAATATATTTTATTCATAAGTTATTCATAAAAAGCAACATAAAATTATTATAAATACAAAACAAATGCATAAAAAAAAATTTCACAACTTAAAACAACACAGTATTTTTCTTTTTAATAATAATATTCATAGTATAGTTGTTATAATAATAATAATAATAATAATTATAGTAATAATTGTATAATCATATATTTCACTTATTTTAATTTTTCATATTTCCACGACATCAAAACACGAAGAATATCTTAACGGTTTCAATAATAAAATACAATTATTGTGTAATGGTGTCCACAACGAATATATTTATTTAGTAATATAATACATATAATTTATTTATGGGCTAATAACATGTCATATCAATATAATAATAACAGCAATAATAGTTTGAATCTTACTATTATAATATCATTATTTGGTCATAATATTATGGTTTATCGGGTAAAATAAAATGAAAAAAAAAAAACAATTTTCTAAATAATTAATTTACATTTTCAGTTCAAACACCGACTGTATAATTGTTTTCAAAATGTTATAATATATATATTTTATGATAGTATATAATATGGCAATTGGCAACAGGCCTAATGTTTCAACGGGTATCGATCGACGCAGTCGTCTCTCGCCGCAGACGTTTGAATAGTTTAAATTTGAATTTTAAATTTTATATAATATATTACTCGTAGGTATAATACGTCATTTCAATACTTTACAGACAAGTCCCTAGCGAGTTGCGTCGGCTAGTAGCCTAACCGTCGGGCGCCGCAAGCACGGTACTTGAAATGGTCTCGGTAACGTAATGAATATAATGGAACAATGATGTTATCAATAATCTGTTGTATCGGTGACGATAGTAATAATATCGTTCCGACGATCGGTCATATGATAATAGAATGATTATTGCAGGTACCACCGATTGAATGTGATATAGCAGGCGTAAAAACCATTCAAACGTTCGGATATTATGCAGAGGAGACTCGTCTTGAATATTATAATGCACAGTAAAATATTATTATATTTTATTATATTTTGCACCGCGCCGACCAAATCGCGTCGCGGCGATCGCTCTGTACAATCTACAATAACCTCATCTCTGCTCGGCGCTCGCGCATAATAATATTGTATTATATACGTTTGTGTGCGTCTGTTCGCGTAAGTACACGTAACAACATCATCGGTAGAAATATTACGTTAAATGTAGCGAATCACGGCGAGAGGGAGAGGCATGGCGACGGAGCGTGGTCGGAGGGAGAGGATTGAAAAACGACGGTAATCCCCGACGTCTCCGGGTAGATGCGAATTTACGACGTACGTAATAATAACAATATTATATTATTATGTACATGTGTATAATATTATTATTATTATATAGTGCGTCGTACAATAACGTAGTGTATTCGTGCATTATTCTCAAGGGCGTACAAACACGGCCACATGCACACTCTCACACCCTCGATATTATATAGTCGTATCGGGCGCAGCGATAGTAATAATAATAACAGTCATATACGCGGTAATAGCGCGATAGTGATATTGCTGAGGGCACATTTTTTTTTATGGACCCCACCCGTCCGCCCGCGCTTGGGGGGGGGGCTACAAACCGCGTTCGTATAGGTAGGTATTTGTAATATACCGGGGTATAGGTATAAATAAGGTAGGTGTTATCTGTAAAGTTTTGAGCGAAACGATGATGCACGCTCGCGCGTAGTAGTCGTGTCGAATAATTGTACCCGAATGCACTACCGCTCGCCCTGCGCAGCCGGAAATTTCCCGTTGGCTGGGTTGGTCCATATAATATTAAAATAATATATTTTCGTTTCGTACCTACTATAATATATAATACTACGATGTTCGACTTTCTATTTATTTTTTATTCATTGTATTGCGGTATCACGTGTCCAGTGTAAGTGCCAATAATAATAGTAATAATAATATTAATGATAGTAATAATAATTTCTTAAAAAAAAAAAAAAAGATAATAATGATCCGTCGTAATTGTAAGAATTTCAGAATAATATTATGTTCTAGAGTTTGAGATGGACGGATTTCCTAGTTCAACGAGGTGCGGTAGTGGTGGTATATGGTAAGATAGCTGCACGGAAACGACTACAATACCTATTTTTTAGTAACGATATCGTTCCTTATTTATAGATATTAATTCATATCAATATCCGTAGTGTTGAAAATACAGTTTTTATTTGCATTAATTTTTTTTTACCATAGGTAAATAAATTATAAATAACAATAATTACAATAAGATGTTCCTAGCATATTGGCTGTCTACGTATTTACGGATGTAGTATTTTCACTCATAACGAAACATTGTTTTATAAATGTATTGAAATACAATCTCAAAAATATTATATATTATATGAAATAATACTTGGCTGCTTATAAATGTTACTTCCTATATGATTGGCGATATATGATTTAATCGTTAAATGTATTTGCTGTAATAATATAAACAAAAAAAAAAAAAAAATATATAAATATAGATGTATGTACTTAGTTACATCGGTACCGTATCGAAATATCGATATCATTTTGCGTAACTAAATTATAATATTATGGTGGGTAATATAATTTTATTTAAAAGCCGTTGCACTCATCTACCCCCACGCACCGGACTTGTTCAACAATATTGCAGTCCATATAATAATAATTATGAAGTGTGTTTTTCCACATCAACGAAGTAATTACTATATTATGCTTTATCATTATTATACTCTCGTTAATTAAACAAAATAGATTGAACCTATGTTTCCAGTGTCCCACAAACTATAATAGCTGTTACAAACGAAATTAATAATTTCATTAGGTTAAGTCGATGAATGTCCTAATTTCAGCTCGGAACAGGCTTATTATTTTTTTTTAACACGGTTATGTCACGATATTATTATGATAAAGCTTATTTTATACATTCAAAATAATAATATTTCGATTAAAAATGTATGAATCGTTAGATAGGAACGTGATAATTATTATTGTAGAGTATTATTATTATTACTATTACTATTAGGTACCATCGTTCTTACAGTATACCTTTATTAATAAATTAAGCAAAATACGACTTCGCTGTTTTTAAACTTTGTGAATAGCTTTTTGCATCTCTCAGTTTGAATAATGTACGAATTACGTGTTTACAAAGTGTGTTTAATTTTATATCGCTTATTCCGGGGTCGTGTTTGTTTTATTTTCGTTGAGTTTTGAAAAGAGTCTTATGTAGAGATAATTGTATACTTCCGGATTAAAATTGTATTTTACCGATATCAATCAAAGGCGACAAATTTAAGTAAAAGGTATTAATATCAATCTCTGCAATACCATATTAAAACACTAACGACTTTGATCATTTAATATCCACTTTTTTTTGTATATTATGGTATGAAATAAATAAATAGTTGATCGGCGATGATCATGTTTGATTCGATAGACTAAAATTCGATTTACTATTCCAATCACTTTGATTTTGTTTCCATTAGCATTATATTTTCATTATCTTAATATTTCCTACATTAGGGTATTGACGTTGTAAGTAATGAACAGCGCTCAATTACTTTTTTTTTAAGATTAGCCATTATTTATTATTATTTTTTTTTTTTTGTATGAATGCCGACCTATGTCGTTATCGAAAAATAAAATGTTTTGTTGTTAATATTGTTATTGTAATAGGTGATTTTATTTTCCGACCGACTGAAAGCAGCCGCATCTAAAAGTTTTAGTTACGTGACGAGACATTTACGATATTATGATGATTAAATAGATTTTTCCCGATACAACGGATATAATGGTAATGACTTTTAAAAACATAATATTTTAATATATTATTATGCTTAAATAACGATATGAAACGCAAATTTGGTTTCTTTTGATATTGTGCTCCACGCACAATGCCAAAGGACGTATTGGTTTCCAAAATATATAATATATTACACGGCAATCATAATAATGTGTTGGAACGACGGCGTCGGCAATAGGAAATAAAACGTAGTACGAAAATTATGTGCAGTACATTATTATTATGGACTATAATAAACGGACAGGGTAAACTATCTCAAGCAGATTGATCGGTGCGGGAAAAGAAAATCGCCCTGAACCACATATAATATAACTACGTATATATTATGTGAGAGTTTTTCTGCGTACATAGGATGAGCACCATATTTTCTCGTTAACGGATGTAAAAATAATAAATTATCGGAGTGTGCCGATCCGAGGCGGTAAAATATACGATCCGAGACGTCTAGTCGAGAGGAAAAAAAAACCGGCGGGTTCGATGGGGGGAAAAAATAAAATAAAAATAATAAACCCTCGCCTCTCCGTGCTGAGGTGTCCTCGCCGCAGAAGTAAGAAACGGATACGGACGTGGAATAAATCAAAGCTCGGCATCTCGTGGGGGGGTAAAATATTGCGAGCTCTCGTTCCGTTGTCTCGCGCGGCGTTCGACCCAGTGGCGGGAACAGACGAGGAGCGTTTGAAGTCTGTGTGTGTGCGTGTGGGGGGGGGGTATATTATATTGTAATGCAGTAGAATACATAGAGGAAATCGTCGTATTATATATGTAAATTTTTTTTATAGATCGTCGCGACGCGATTTCGACGGAAGTCGTGACACGTTTTTTCTAAAAAATATGATATTATACACACAGAGACCTGCGACCGAGTGATCGAGACATGTTGAGAGAGAGAGACACACAAAGATAGATAGAGAGAGAGAGAGAGATGATATAAAGAGAGAGAAAGAGATATAGAAAAACGTCGAGTCGACATTTACCGTCGTTGTAATATCATTTTACGTTTGCGTGAGAGGACGTCTCTGAGAAGACGTTGTTTGCTTCGTCGGCGGGGTCGGTGGGCAGTGGCTAGTGGTGGCGGCGCAGGGTCAGCACCACGACGGTCAGCAAGACGGATGCGGCGAAAAGTGCCTCGTGGCCCCTCGGACGGACCGACCCGGAAAGCGCCTCGGCGGCCGTCTCCACGCAACTGTGAAACCGACCGTAGTCGAGCTCGGTGACGGCACAATACTGCGCTCGTCTGCACTCCAGATTGCAATCCTTAGGTTTGAACTGCCGCACCGAGTTGGCCTCGATGTACCTGCGAACACACCACATTTTGAACGTATGAATTTTTAAAGTACAACAATGATAATTATATATTATATTCCACGTTATAAATATTTTAATAATAGGTATATCGTTATATTTTAATAAAAATCGTGTACATAGTGTTCCTCGTTGGCGCCATTACTACACTTTGAAATCACGGGTGGAGTTAATGTTTTTTTCTTTTTTTTTTTTAACACCTATGACCGATTATTATTATGTCAGAGTACAAGAAAACCGCCGACGTCAAAATATACAGTTTGAACTTTCGTCGTTGCAGCTGCCTGATATAAATAATAAATAAAATCCTAAATTACCGTAACCAAACACGACGCGATTCGGGTGATTTCGAGGAGGCCATTGAAATATTTAGGAGGTCAAATAACCTCCGAACGTTTCGTTTTGTCGATTTTTTTTTTAATAAATACAGTCCTTTTCCTCGCCCACCTTGTCAATAACGACGTATCGTAACATAATCGATCGGACTATCGAGGAAGAGCAAAATTGTTAGTGGTCACCGGTGCACACCACACGTCGCGTTCGACTCGGCGGTGGCATAATAGTTGAGTTTCTAGGTGAAAAACCAACATTTTTCCTTTTAAGCCAAAGCGTATAAATAGGTACCTAGCAGTAGTATTCACTTTTTGACAAATGAAATCCTATCCGTCGCGGTTCAATGCCAAACTATACAGAACAATTATTTTTCTGTAATAAACGTTCAATAAAAGTAATTGTGCGATCTAAAATAAATAACTTTTTTTTTTTTATCACGTTCACTCACTTCATTGTTGTGAGGATTGACTTACAGACGGTTTTCAGACAACCATAACATGTCAGATGTATAATATACTGTACACACACACATATATATTATTTATGAACATAATACGTCTAAATATCACTAACGCGAAGCATTTAATCGTCACAATGCCCCACGGACGATCTTCACATATCTTGTACCTTACCCTGCTGGTTCCTAAAATGCAGTAAAATATCGAACCGAACGGGTAAGTACGTAGACGAGAGTATTAAAGCATTAGCCAAAATGTAAATATTGTTTTATCAGTGTTGACCAGAACGGGTATTCTGCTACACGAGTATAATATTATGATACGCGAGGACAGGATTGTTCTTGAATTTCTCGAATCGTAATTCTACAAACTGCCCAGTAATATTATCAATACGTCTAGTATGATAAATTTGATCAAAGTACTTAATGCGTCGGTTAGAAGACCACCCACGAGGCTACGAGGAGAAGGAATTTCACGTGACCCGTTAATTTTAATCTTCGTTGTACATACAATAATTGCGATGCGATCGAATTGGAGACGAGCTATTGTTTATTTAACAATAATCAACTGCACACTATAGACTGACGTCCAACAATATTTGTGTACAAGTACCTATAGATGATGGTAAATTCGCGGGATGATTCGAGCATAAAATAATTCAAACATCTAATACACGAGTTAATTGGAAAAATAAATTGACTTGAGTATTGAGCGGCAAACATTATATACATGAACGTGTATTGTATAATCTTCAAAAAACGATTTTGATCGGAGCTAGTGAAAACTGCGATTGCTGACACGTCTTAAAAATATGATCTCATCAATGTTTATGATATTATGTACCTACTCGACTTCAGGACTTTTTTAAGTAGCTACACGAAATTATTCGAGCACTCTTCAGTCCCGAATGTTCTTGTTCGAGTAAAACAAGAGCGACGATAATATCAGAGGTGGACAAAAAATACACATATTTAAAAACGATAAGCAATCAATTCTAGCCAGTTTCGTTCATTATATTATCAAAATATACTGTTGTACAGCCACGGGTCAACGCGTATGCAAATTTATTTTTATTTATTTTTTTTGAAACGGACAGCGTTTTGCTCGGTACAGACATAAAAATATCACCTTACGCAATTACAATTACAATTATCGCACTACAAGGAACATTAAAATATTCACGCGCACCGAACAAAAGGGGACCAACTAGATAGGTTTTTCCGTTTTTCCGCACACGACGCAGACAATGGGATTTAGAGCGCGCCAGGAAGTCGAGTATTTTGTTCGGGACGATTCAATAGAGCATACACTCTATACTATTATTATATTGTTATTATAATATTGTGCGGCAGGTACCGATTGCACTCACGTCTCGTATAGGTGTGCCATACTTAATAATTATTATCAGTGTTGTAAAGTATTCGAATGAAAGTATATAGGTGCGTGTATTGTTATTCAAATACTTTTCCAAGTGTTTTAACTATTATGTATCAACAGGTGTATCAACAGAAATTTATTACTGAACTGCAGAATATACTTTCTTTTAAACAATTTTTATCTTTCTTTGAATTCAAAATATTTGTAACTGTTGTAAAACTAAACTACGATCACTGCCCAAATCTTATCTTTTCTTCAAAATATGCTGTTGCTAATATCATGATTGGTAATAATTTTGAACCAACGATGTTTTTGTAATGTAACAAACATTTATAAAGGTACGTATAGGTAAATATTAAAAGATAAAATTATAGATAATAATTCAAATATTTTAATCATAAATAACATAATACTTTTATCAACACAATGTGAATAATTATATTAAACTTCAATAATTTAATAGTTAGTTAATTGGAGTGGTTTAGATGGTAATTTATATACTCTATGTTAATACATATAACTATTATATAAGTATATACAATTATTGTTATTTAATAAATAATATAGCTTATATCAACAAAAAAGTTTCCATCAATTACTAAAACGACCGGGGCCTCTCCGCTGGGAGTGATAATCTGAATATGTTTTGTATACATCTACTAAAAATATTTATTCATTTAATATTTATATACCTATTACTTATACTTTTGAAATGTATTATTAAAGACCATTGATAGTGAAAGTAAAAAAGTCTAAGGATGGTTTATATAAAAATAAAATACTATAACCTACTATTATGTAAATAATTATCAATTTGTCAAATCGATCAAAATCTTTAAACAAGACTTTACTAATATTTAAAATTAGGAAACCTTTACCTACTATAAAAATAGCCCTAGGTATTTAAGTTTATATAATTTATTCATTAGGTAATAAATAAAAAGTATTTAAAAATATGTTTGAAGAATACCGAGATACTTTTTAATACAACTATTTTATCCGAACAAAAGAATACAATTATGGGAAATCGACAAAACGTAATAATATCATATCACATCATGGACGGTTATTCAATCGCGATGGATGACGGTAGGTCGAGTCAATTGCAAGTAAAATCATAGCAAGTCAATTTCTCGTCGAACATCAATCACTCCACAATAATATTATCACCCCGAGATGTTAGTGCTCATCATAGGTCCTCGACGCAGAAGTGTTTTAATGCATAGATTTTTAAATTATATTTTACCGTCCGGTAAAAAAGAATCAACCATCTTAATATGCTCTCTCTCTTATTCGTTGATTGACCGACATACCACCAATAGTCCACTTTTCTGTACTCCTGCAATATGCATCTTAAATTATTTTAAAAATGTGCCAACTATATACTCGTACTTTTTACATGAGCACATGACTATCAACCCCAAATACAGATCCTTCGTTTGCCGTTTAAAGATTAAGCTCGATGTTAGGCAGTGTATTTAATATTACGATATTATGTCGTTTGTTAATAATAATACATTTGATACAAAACAAGCAAGTAAATTGTCAAAGGTCAATGGGCGTATGACGCCAATATCCGCGACGTTTTCGATAGCCATTCGACCGAATCGGACAATATTTTATTCATAATTTTCGATCAAAACTTGTTTAGGCGATTTACAACAAACATAGAGTTTGATAAAACAAGTGCACGCAACTACGACTGCAGTCATGGTCTGTATATAATTAATTGAAAGTAAATATAAATTTGCAACAGGTATTATTAATTAATATACAGTATTTAGTTGTGATTTTATTTATTTTGTTTTAATAATAAAATTATACCAAGTAAATTAAGTGATTACTTACTGCAATAACTCTGCTTGTATTATTAACTTATTAAAATATGAAATAAATAGAATTTTTTTTTACATTTAGGATTACGACTTTGGAAACTTATAATAACTACATTATAAATTACTGTTAGACTTATAGAAGATCCATTTTTCCTTTAATGTTGATTTGATTTTTCACGAATATGTGTTGTAATAAGTTTTTTCCTTACGGTTCCCCCTTTAGGTCATCTGCAGACCTCTTTTAATGGTGTCGAAAAACGTAGTCAAACGGCATCACTGGTTAAAAAGTACGCATAACCAAATTATACCGGGGTTACGCGTGGATGATCTTACAACATAGAGGTGTGTTGCGAAACGCATAACGTTGTGCAACGGACGTTCTAAGCCAAACCACCGGCCACAGGGGAAAACAATTCGTATATTTTTTTTTGTTTTTAAGAATTTCTAAAAGAAATATTAATAGAGTGCACAAGGCCCTAGGGCAAATTTTAAATCTGGGAAAGTGGCCACCATTGTCCCAAGGGTTCGTGATAAAAAAAAAAAAAAAATGAATAAACCGAAAGTTTCTCGGACGAAAACCGTGTATATATCCTACTTAGAGATGTTTGCGTTGAACATTTTTTGTCGGAAAAACTAAAGACGGAGAGACACAGGACGAAGAAACAAAAACGAAGCAGTAGTAATAAGTGTCTCATACTTACGAGTTGTGAACCATTGGTGACGTGAGTGAAGGGGACGAGAATGGCTAGAGTGGGGCAGCCAGCAGTAAGGTGGATTATTTTGAAGTTTTTTTTTGTTCAAGAATCGTAAACAATAACTGAATCTCCGAACCCACAAAGTCGTTTCCATAAACAACGTTGAAGCAAACTTATACTGTCCGAAGCTTCTTAGCTTCTTTTGGCTTTTGATTACTTTGTTTTCTGTTAAAACTATATATAAGTAATAGATATACATGTATATATATTTTTTATATATCAAATTACGAATATCCTCTATTGTCGTTTGTTACTTTTTTTTTTTTTATCACGGTGCAATATTGAATTCGTAAAACAAACGATAGCTCTACAATCTTTTACCCTATGTGCCTCCTACATTGTATTCAACGTAGGTACTCGTAGTGAAAACGGTGCTTTGATTCATTATTCTCACTCTGCATGCAATTTTATTTATAAATGTTTGGAAAAACACACATCGAGTTTTCAATTTATAGTCCATTTTTTTTATTATCCTTTTACAAGGACTGCATATATGCATCATGTACAGGTATATGTGTACTTGTTTACATATACATTACAAAAAGCACATAATACGATGGCGTAAGTGTGCGTTATTATTAGCAATATTTAGGTATTTATTACATTTATAATAACATATCGTCATATATCGTAAGAAACCTCACATATTATTTTATTGTGTTCAGATTTTCAGTTTAAATAGGTCAATTGCGCAATTCAAAATTAATTTCACTCCTCTACTATAAGAAAGTTAATCGTGACGACACTATACAATATGTATAACGCAGTTTGTTGAAACTTTTGTGCTCATTGTCTGGCTCTTTCGACGATATCTTTCAAAAAGAAAACCAAAGTACCTTCTCATCGACCCAACGCGCTCTCGTTTGATGTAACATTATACAACAAATAAATATTTTAATATTTCGATGAGTACCTCCATATTGTTATATACCTACAGTTTATTACATCGTTATGGCTGAGAAACCCGACATTTTTTCTTTTTTCGCACACTTTTCCGAGCACATATAGGGAATATTCCAATCACATCGTGATTTAAACTGCATTCGGCTATATATATATATATATTGGCCATTACATTTTGTACAACTGCAACAATATTATATTCAATGTGATTGGGTTTCCGAGAGAGTAAAGTGTACAAAAGAAATAGGTACAAGACGAGACGGTATATAATATTCTGTGTGATGGAAATTTAAATTTATCGCATATAAATGATAAAATGTCAATCATTTTTCAATAATGAATTGTACCTACGTGTTATTATTTATTTTTTTTTATTTCCGCAGTCGCTTGTCGGTTCCATTATTTCATTTTATTAGAATGCCATTCAGTGTGAAAAATTCATTAAAACGAGTTTTGTGAAACAGGAGGGACTCAATTTTTTTCTCAACACTTACGGCAAAGATAAAAATAAAGAATTTTCTTTTAACAAAAGACTTTTATAAATAAAGTAGACAGCAATAAACCGGCTTCCGTTTTAATGGGATATACGGTTTATTCATATACACTCTCATTTATTTCGATGTAAGATAATAATATAAATGTCATCATTGTACGGAAACCCAAGATCTTTCTCTGTGCTTTATTGCAGTACGTCCCATGGAATATTGTGCACGACGCAGCTTCACAAATATCATGTGATGTGGATAATATTTCGCATTCACTTACGAGTAGGTTTATTTTGATATGCGATCAAACTTGTATAAATTAGAAATTAGATATCGGGACACGATAATATTGTACATTATTCCAGCGGAGAAGAAAAAAATTGCACACGTTCGTAAAACCGCCAGTAACTTTGCAGTTCATTTCGGATAGGAATTTAAAAGTCAATATAAATGAAACTAAAGCTATTTTCTCGTCAGCGTATATTATGAAGGATGCTACAAAAGCCGAGATAGAGATATTTTATTCGTGTTCGGAGTTTTTTTGTGAGCGTATAATCACATAACTCTTTCAGACCGTACATTTTTTTTTCGGACAAATAATAATATAGGAAATGCTGGTATTTATCTTTTTCCTTCGAAACGGTTGTATAAGATAAAAACTTTTGAGTATTATCAAAAATTCGTTTGATTTAAATGTTTTGAACTTTTCCCGGCTAAGATATTTCGGATACGATCAATATCCTTTATTACGAGGCTATATGGGTGGTAAATAATGACGAGATAAACATTTTGGTTCGCAATGATCTCGATTCATACGCAGTTTTGAGAGGTATTCAGTTCTATATACAGTATAGATAATAGTGTTACTGACAGTATTACGGTGCATGATGTGCGATTAGTGACCCAACAGAATATTATGCATAGCGACTTAGACCGCTCGCATGTTGGTTGAATGCCAACGGTTATTATGTAGGAACAGAGTTTGACAGATTTAATACAATTATACGATATTGCAGGTATGGAGTCTAGTACACGAGTAGATCAATTATGTACAACGCAGTCCATGTAAATTGACAATCAGCCACTAGATTATAATTATAATGTGAGAACATTTGTGTTCATACCAGGTACCGGAATTATAGTCTATAACGATACAATAACAATAATATGTGTGAATCCCAGTGTTCAAAGTTCAATGAGCTTTCACTTACATGTTTTGTCCGGATTGGGGAGAGGTAGCAATTGCTAATATTCCAAAAATAACGTGTTGATGTTGATGTGCAATGATTGAACGTTTTTTATTAAAATATCGTCACCACCAGAGTTCAGAAATTTTCAACGACAACGAGTATAGTAAGTTGTTGCCTATATGCTTATACAGGGTGTTCAAAAAGTTTTGAAAAGGTCATTAGACTAATTAGGTTATAGTATGGTATAATTAATATTTTACCTCATTAATGTGCAGCAGTGTTATCTGTTATTCCCAGACGTAGGTATACAAATATGCAAATATTACGTAACTAATTAAAAAGTTTTAAATTTTTTTGAACACTTTGTACTCGTATGTTATATATTATTTGAAATAAATAAAATAAAATTTCCTTGGGCTGACAGATGAGTTTAAATATATTTTCAGACATGAAATAAGCTGTACAATCATTTACATTCTTAAAAAAATAAAACACATAATATTATATGTTATATCACATCGAAAATGTATTTCGGTCGAGTGCACAATGCATATAGGTACCCACTAAACTTAAAGGGTTGAAGTGTTGTTATACCCGAGCATGTGACTGCTATTGTTGCAATGGCGTATATTATGTGTAAAAATTAAAAAGTGGCGAAAAAAAAACAAAACAATTAATAACAATAATTAATGATGAATATATACTATTATAGTGTTATAAATAACTATAAATAATATAATAAATTATGATGGTTTTTGGAAAAATTTGAATCAACCTACCATAATAATAATAGTAAAATAAATAGCTAACTAATAATTACGCTATTTGTGTACAAAAATGGCGGTTGATACTTGATTGGAACGAGCATCATCGGAGGTACGCTGCAGTGCTTGGACTTCGTAATTTATTTGTTGTGGACCAGGTCAACTTGACATCTGCGGTATACTAAACCTATACTTGTGCACGTTTTTGAATAAAGAGTGGAGCAAAGAATGTATTAATTTAACGCAGAAAATGTGCTTTCTGGTGTTGAAGTCAAACCGGGTAATATAACCAGTGGTGCCGAAGTCCGTGTTAACGTCAGGCCAGGGTCATAAATTTATTATGAGCATGAGTATATTTAAGTAAATGTATATCAAGGTACCTCTGGTATATTGAAGAACTAAGATATTGAGGCCTCGAAGTTTTGAAATTGCCCAACCACATTTTAAAACTTCGGCACCACTGAATGTAACTAATAATTTCAAAAGAAAAGATATTTGGAAAAAATTTAGAATTATTCAACCTCCAATGGCCGAATCCGTGTACAAACGGCCATATGGGTACAGTCTTCAATGACTTACCGTCATCCGTCGATAAAATATCATTTGTGACATATTTATCAAACATTCAATGCCAACAAAATTCGTATACATGAAATTGGCTGTGCAATTATTTGCATTCTTAAAGAAATAAAACGTAATATAGTATATAATATATTACATACTATCGAACATTTATTTCGGTCGAGTGCACAATGCATGTAGGTAGGTACCCACTAAACTTAAAGGGTTGAAGTATTTTTTGTTATCCCCATCACGCGTGTAGCTGCTATTGTTGAAATGGCGTATATTATGTATAAAAAAATATAAAGCGGCGAAAAAAAAACCGAACATAAAAAATCTCGTGCCTTTATTTATTTTTATCACCATTAAAAATTTTCACCCAGCCACGGCTGCGAACGTAGTAGGTAGATAATAATATGTACGCGAATGAATGACGATAACACGTGTCCTTACAATACATTTTTTTTTTTTTACAACATATACGAGCATTATGCACGCACAAAACTTTAGATGTGACATAATAGTGATGTCGTTTTTTTATAATATCTCATTCGTCTCGAAAATACGATTCACGCACACTGCACCTTTCGGAAAACATTTTCACGGGTGCTGCGGATACATCGTATTATTGTCGGATCGATATTTCAATTGATTATTTTCTCACTGTGACTTACTGAATGCAACACCGGCCGGCAGATCTTTCGTATATTTGACATAGTGCAGCAAGCACAAGGCTTAATACGACGAACACCGGAACACAGATCATCGTTTTAATTTATCTAGGTCAGTGGTCTACAGCTATAGGCGCGGTGAGAAGCGCCTCTGGTAAATCCATAACGGTTACGACCATGATCGTTTCCATGCTATGAGGGGAGGGGGGGGTCGACGAGAACGGGAAACATAATATGATGAGAATTCCCTGGAAAAAAACTGATGTGCGAGGGCGGTCTGCTGATTACCTGCATAATATATTACTATGATTAATCGTCATTGACGAAACGCGTACTGAAAAACGATCCGGAAATAATAACCTTTTACTGCTCGTCGTTTAATTACCTACCTAAAATATTATGGCATATTATAATATTGTGAAATTCAGCAGTTGCGCTACGTTATTTTATTACATTTTAATGATCCCATGACTAGTACTATAATTGTGATGTACCTGTCGAACTGCGCCGACTCGTCGTCCTGGAACGTTTCGGCGATCGCGTGCAGAGTCTTGGGCGTGATATTGTGGAGTCCGTAGTAGTGCGTCAGGTTGTACTCTATCCTCCAGTCGTCCGGATCGCCGTTGGGCGACGACTCTAGGTCGATGTAGTACTGCGTGTAGTCTAAAATCTGAATCAAAACCCGTCCGAAATTAACGTAATCATTTTATTGTATTTTTGCCTGTGGCGAAAAAGACTTGATTTTTTCAAATTCTAACCCCCTCCCATTGGTTACTATGGATATTTTTTAGAGCTGACGACATCAGCGTATACGAATGTACGATGAGCGGCCTATGACTATAGGAACACTACATAGTAATTAATATAAATTTTAAAAAAAAGTTTGCATCACTGAAGGAATATTTTCTTGATCAGTTTAAAAATCTATAAAAATTTAGAAACATGCGGTCTTAGAGCAAACTTAAAAATTCTAAGCATCAGAATACAGAATAATTAACGGTGAATGATATTAGGGTGGTATGTACTGACCGTGCTTTGCGAATCATCACGTAATATATAATACACCTGGTCACGTGACTCGAAATACACATCGTGGGTTTTAAAGTTCAAAATCGTTTGGAAAATCATGATTTTAAATTGTTATATTATGGTCTAAAAACGACCAGGACTGTGACAAAAATGTCGAGATCATTGTAAAAACCAAAAATCGCCGCAACAGAATCTACATGATAGTTGTTAACTTGGCGCATATACTTACATGGCCCGAATTCGTGTTGAATTTGTACAGTCTCAAGCCAGGGTTGTTGGACACGCCGGGAGACTTGTTGGGCGTCAACGACGGAGCGACCATCATCCACGACACTGGTTTTTCTGCAACACAAATTGTGGAAACGCACTTGGTTAAAGTTCGTTTCAAACGAGAAGAAGAAAATAAAAAACAGACAAACAATAAACACGGTTTGGACGATAATTCGATAATATATCTTATAATGCGCCTGTTGTACGTGACCGCGCCAAGTGCGATGGATATAACTTAAGTATTGTTCACAGGCGTCTGATATAACACTATATACGCACGGTCGTTGCACAAGACGTGTAAAAATACATTTTGGCAATAATATTCTTTATGGACATGATCACATTACATATTAGTATATTATCACGTCATGTAACAACGACTGCAAAAATTAGTCGGATATTAAAATATATAGTGGTGCATCGTGCCGTCGTGGCACGAGCAAATCTATTATTATTACTAATCATTGTTTTAAACTCTACGTAAATATTACGTGCCATCACTCGTAAAATGAAAAGATTATATTTTTTAATAACCATCGGTTTCTTTACATCAGTAAAGCACACAAACGTGTATTCACTTTTTTCAGAAAATAATTCGTTTAAAATGACGCGTGACGTTTTACATAACGTAACCTGTTCAAACATTCGAGAACAAAAATCAAATTTTTATAATATTTCTTTCTTAAATTGTAGGTTTAATTTAGTATTTCAAATTTCCACTCACGACCATACATGACTTGGTTTTTAATAAGAATAACAATGTTTCCTCGTAGATTTTTATAATGCACACTGACATTCTGTGATTTGTGAATTTTTATGAACACAAAATGATTACGCATCAGCTGTATAATTTGTGAACATGTTTTGGTGCAAAAAAAAAATAATGATAGTAATATTATTTTGACTTTTAACTTTTGTATTACATAAAAGAAAACAGTAATGGTTGTTATTAAATGAATCAGCTTATTTTGGGTATTGGCAATAATATATTATGCATACAATTTATTTATAACTATTTGATTTAAGGTTTGAGAACTGAGGTCATTAGTCTGAAGGTTATTTTTAGTAGGTTTTTACTGTGGAGAGGGTATGGTTTGGAACACGAGTATATGTGGCGAGGATTTGTCACTAAAAACCCAGATGGTCACCCATCCGGGAGCTAGCGACACCGGCCGATGATTGACCTCAGAACATGTAAGTGGCTGAGAATTGATTAAGAATTTAATAACCCATAAATTAGTAAACATATTGTAGACAAGAATTCATATTATAAAATTGTATAACCAATACCAATAGCCATAATAATAATAATTGTATTATAAAATGGTCAATATAAAACAAGTCCGTAATAAAAACATATTGACAATATTAATATAAGATTAATATAGTTTAATAGCTCAAATATAATTATAATATTGCTCTATACATATTTACGGTAATTACATTTTTATGTACAGGAAAAATTGATTGTGCTTCACGAAATATATTACCTATCTATAATAATATAATATCGACATTTTGTATCGTTTATTATAGATTATACAAAAATTAAACATTAAAACCCTTCCACAAACAATTTATTAAATATTATAGTTATAACGTGGCAGTCCGATGAGGACTCCCTGACGAAAACTTGACACAAACCAAGGCGCCATGACGAACATTTTAAAGTTTTATCGTCCACTTCTTATATAATACCCAACAGTTATGCAATAATATCTCGTGACGTCATTAGAGTCACGTGAAATCACGTTTACAACAACAGTTTGGGTATACCATATTTTATGGGAGGCGTTCTTTTTTATTGATAGTTTTGGTTTTAAAAATGTAGAGTCATATTTCTTTTTGTCAACTTTTTCATATGGTTTTCGTCTGTATATTGAAGTGTATAAGTACCCTCTAAGCTTACTTCCAGCAATCACAGTGATAATTCTTAGGAATTATCGAAATTGCAGCGTTATATAAATTTGAAATATATATTATACTATAAAATATGTGTTATGGATAGGAAAAAAATCGCCTCAGTTTCAGCTTATCTTAAAAACAGAAGTTTGGGTCCACATCCTATCATAGGCGTCTCATTGCAGTAGAAAATAATAAAAATAATATATTGAGAACCTCTGGTTTCGACAGCTGGTTCCGCTGAAATCGCTGAAGTCAGGGTTCAATTTTCATGAGATCGATTATAGTACTAACCTAACCTCGGATACTACCTAAAGTTGAACACTACCTAACTAAGTATTATTGACCAGCACCATTCAAGTGTTTTAAATTTTTTTAAGATTTAGTCGGACTTCTAAGAATTTAAAACACTCACATAATTTACTACACAGATAAATAGGAATATCCATTGAATAACATAATGATTTCGGTGCTCATATGGATAAAGAGGTTTTAAAATGTAGTAAATAAAAAATCATTGAGCATATTATTATTATAAATGTTTAAACAATGAACAGAAAATAAGTGATTGTATTAGAAAATAGTTATACCACTTTTATTTTTTATGATTAAAAATGAGTCAGAACTACCTGCAGTGTTAAAAATTGTTGATATGAATCAAGTCACACAAATGTTTAATAAATTGTAGTGAGATTTTTTTGGTGTTTTATAAAACAATCGAATCTAACATATTATAAATGCTTATAAGAGTCTTATAGAACCTGTATAGCGTTACATATTATGTATCAATCCATTATTACGATAAGGAAATAAGATCCAATACATGTAACCAATACAGTTATTTAAATGACTTCATCGTTTAATGTTTTTCAGAATTTCAATATGAATAGAAAATAATTTCACGAATTTATGAACAAAAGGCTATTTTCGTTGATTAGATGAACTCAAATTAATTTGTAAATATATTAAATTAATATTTTAATATGTGATATACTTATCGAACTTATGATTTATAGCCCTGCAGTGTCTCCAAATTGTTACAGTACGAACTGCTTATTTGGATGTTATCAAAATGCAATTGATTATAATTTTAGTGCTAGGAGAATTTCAGAATAATAATAATATTATAATGGTGAAATATACTGTGTGCCTCACATCAAAAATGGTAAAATAAATCTAAGCTTAGCATAAAATACAATGTTGTCCTTTTTACGGGGTTCGTATTAAACATTTAAATATCACATAAAATGACTAATTTTATTCATTAGATTATAATGTAAAGTTGTAAGCTATCTGTAAAGTGCGTGTTTTGCACTCGTTGAACAAGTCAAAATATATTTAGATAATTAAATTGAAGGTATACAGTATACACGCCTTTAATATACTAAATTTAATTTTGTGTCATCCCCAAAAGTTTGCTTTTATTCTTTCACATTTTAAAGGCGTTAAAACTTTTTATTTTGAACTTTACCCTTTAATATTTGTAATGCGATAAGTAATAATTTTTTACAACACTTATGTTGGTATAAGATTTATTTTTTTTTACTTCGATGTGCTTTTACATAATTTATATATTTTTATAACCTAAAGATATATTAAACATTTAAGACGATATTACGTGTACTATAATATGCACACGTTTCTAATACATTTTAACACATTATACCACATCGTATTCCAACAATCAATGTTTTGAAAATAATTTTTAGTTTGGTTTTGAAAGAAAACGTATTGTTAATAATTATTTTAGATTTTGAGTAAGACGATTATTTGAGTTAGTGTTATGACGTTACAATATCAAATTACACGAATATTTACATATATTATATGATGTGTGTATTTTCAGTAGGTAATATTTCAAAACTCATAATAAATAATTTATGATATGCTTTTATTTTTCCAGTCGTTTTCAAAAAAATGGAAAGTAATTAAAGAATTTTCAAAAAAAGAACAACGAAGAAATTAAAGTCGTCACTTTAGGATTTACCGTCGACGGACTCCAATCATATTCGTCCTCTACTAAGTTACTACCATGTTTAAACACCGATCTAATTGACAAATGTTGTTATATTATTAATGTAAATTGTCAGCTGTAGCATAACACAACGCAAGTTATGCCACAATGACACATTGAAACTGTCTAAGCAGTGTACTCGCAATATTATGCGTATATGACGCAGTGGTACATTTGAAGTTTGAGCATTACAGGGGAGGAAAAAATGATCTAATATAACTATTGATATATGGTTGGAAAAGGCCGCAACATACACCAATCGAACTCTAAAGTATTTAATTATTAATTCTTTATATTATTTATTTCAATTTTAAATTGTATTTCCATTTTATTTGACAATTTTTTTACGATAAAGTTTGAGTATAAAAAGCGGGTAAGTGTAGCGGGATGGAGTAGGTTAGCGGTGATGGAGGTTTGTCCATCGTCCCTTCGGTCCTCGGACAGGATAGTTTATAATTACGGTATTCGATTTGAATGCAATGACTGTATTCGATAAAAAACGATTCTAAATGGACGAAAGAGAATGTATGAATCATAAATAATATGTATTAATAATAAAATTAATAATAACTTATTATTAGTTTTATTATTAATAAGTAACCATTAATTATTGTATATAATATACCTAGTGGGAATTATTTGAATTTTACATTTTATTCGTTTATTTAGCGATAATCAAAGCGTTAGAAAATTAATATTCAGTGGTTTTTCCCGTTGCGTTAAAAAATTATTGACCTCTTTAAAGTAAACCACTAGCTTCCTCGCTCCGCTCAAGATCTAAAATTTATTTATTTTTTTTAAAACCCCAAACTCCGATTCACCCTTTTCTTGTCCACCTCAAATACACCTCTACGCAAAGAATGGCACTGGTGCATTCGATCTCTAATGTCATATTATGTAACTACAAAGTTAGTTTTGTTTCGTCTCTCGACTGAGGATTAGCGTGGCAGGGACATGGAGGTTTCACAACCACCTAATCGCATTAATCGACATCTGCATTGATTAATAGCATGTATGATTGAGTCATGTAGGTGAAGTCCACTCGAAATAGAATCGGTAAGCCCAAATGATTGATGCTTAATGTTAATAATTATTAATTAGGTATATATACATAAATATCTTATGATATTATACTCACAGTCAACTCTCGCCCTCAAATCGCAGCCGAACACGCGTTAGCACAATAACAATATCACATAAATTTCAAATACAACTGTGCACCAGTCCTAAAGGTAATAGCTTACAAGGTGAATCTATATTATCGGTACCTGCCTAAATATTCATTATGTCAAAAAGTATTCAAGTTTTTGATAAGCAATAATTATTATTTTTAAACATTTGAACTCATAACAATGAAGCACCTATACAAAATTTTTGAAAAAAGAAAACTGTTTGTATTACTATTTTTTATCTTTATGGTTATAAACTTTTTTGACTTGAAACATAATTTTATTTTCATATTTCGAATTGAAATTAGTTTTCAGAGAATTTCAATAAGTAGTTATATACAAATTGGATATCTAATGACTAGTCAATTAGTAATACGTGTATAAGTTTACACGGGTGGAGTGAAGTGGCAGAAGGATACCCTGCAAATGTTAGTCGACTACTACTCTGCTCGTATAAACTTTAAACACGTATAGCTAAATAACATTACTACCAACTTCCGGGAAAATACGAAGAAGCACCTAAGGTTATTCTGTTTTCTTTTTCGACATTTCTCGAGGTTAATAATGTAGTGTATTAATACTGAGTTGTAGTACCTTTAACTAATTGTAGTCTCGAATAGTTATTTAGTGTACAAATGGTGGTGGGGGAGGGGTGTATGCTCAAGTAGTTGTAATTATTTTCCGATTCAAGACAAAAATAAAAACAAAGTAAATACGACGTGAGAATTATAATAAAAACCAAAATATTTTATTATCGACATGTCTGTAGAGGGAGAAATGGGAGGGTCCCACGAATAATACAAACCAGAGCTGTCAGGTTAATGCGGTGCCAACGTTTTTTTTTTTCGTACCATAATTAAATATCGGTGATTCAATAATAAAATCGCGATTACAATATATTTTACTACTCGCCTCTCCGTTGACCCGAATGAGCAAGTGGGATACTGTAATGACAGAATAAGTACTACTATTTTGATTCTTTTATAGTGATAAATACGAGTAACTTTTTGTGCAGATTTATGAGTCGATTTAAAATATTTCCTTTTAACACGATTATAAAATAAATTTACAACGCAAAACTGAAAAAAAAAAAAAACTTAAATTTATTTTAAGTGAAATTATGACTATTCAAGTAATTAAGAAAAAAAAACCACTTAACATTTATCGAGAGAACGAGTACCTCAAGGTTAGGTACTCACCACTATACAGTGATAAACTATTAATCATCACCTTGAAAAACGCAGCACACGTGACACGTCAAAACGATTGGACAATAGCTTTTTTAGGTAAAAAACTTTTTCGTACTGGTTTATTACTCACTGTGTTGGTCGTAGACGATCCGAAATGTGTCTGAGTGCAGGTGACCGCAAAACTGTCCGACAATGATGTGAGCAAACCTCCGGATCATTTCCAAGTATTTCGCGCTGTAGTCGTCTTGGAACGTGGGCGCCTCGTCTTGGTCTCTTTCGTTAGCTCCCGGGCACATGTGGCTGACCAGGTACACCTGAAAGTTAGCCGACTGTGTTGAAGGAACGACCGGAACAAATGTACAGACCAGTAAACTTGTACTGAGAATAATCGTCGACTTCCGGGGACGCGTGTGCGAGGTCGAAACATGATCGTAGGTACTCAATGGTGGATTCGATTCGATTCCGAATCCACGATCGAGTGAACCTCGAAATGCAATCTCGAAACAGCATAATATTATTATGGTTTTTACTTTCCTATCTTGACCGACTTTCGAGTTTCGAGATAAGTTTAATTAGACTACGACTATCGTGCAAGTGTAGATGCTATTTTAACGCGGCATCCGGGTGTGGTGATATTTGAATATTCGCTGAAAATTTTCAAAACGCGATCGCTTTGAAAGGCGATGAGAAAAGTTCAACGATATTCGATGAGCGCTAAAAGGGTTAGTTCAAATAATTCGAACACGATTTTCATTAAAAGTCAACTATGCGAACGACTCGACAATAAAAGTTCAACGACCAACTTGCTCACAAGCTCGATACGAAAGTTGAGTTCGCGTTTGCAACAAATTACATACACGACCAATTTTATTTTAAATATGTATAACGATCTAACGGTATGCAACGAGTTCGTCCTCGTTAAAAAAATATATGTTTTATACTGGCGCTGTAATATCATAGATACATGTTTGATCGTAAAACATAATAATAAACAGTGGAAATTTCAAAGGCGTATTATTAAATAAATATGTAGTTTTAATCAAAACAACCATAACTAATAATTACTGTATTATTCAGTTAATTAATCGGAACATTATTAATATTATTGGTTTAACGATCATGGTATCCGATTGAGTGCCTAAAAAATGTTATAATAAATATTGCGTCCCCAAATAATTTTAAATTTGAATGTTTCGATAAAAAACGAACTCAGGTAAAATGAGAACAAAAGGATCCATAAATGTCGTTTGTGTCACAACGATGTTACGCTTCATACGTACATGTTTTACATTAAAACAAAATACGAATTACCAGAAAAACATATAATCTCACGATTTTTGACAACAATTTTATGAGTAGTTAATCTTCATATTATAATAAACCATATTATTTATATGCTTAAAAATTCAAACACAAAATCAATTTCACTTAAGCATAATACGACGTAGACATTATAATAAAAACCGACTGAAAACGTGTTTTGTATTATAATAATATTATTATGATAAACATTTTTTTTTTTGCATTTGGTAAAAATTAGATTGCTCAATGTATTATTACTCACTGTTTCTTTGTTCATTACTGATTTCAATAAAATTTTTTCCAACCATTCAAGCTGTTCTATAGGGTTGACGACGTTCCGTTGTCTTTCTACTGTTGAGAAAGCATTTGAATTGAGCGCGATTATCCTAAGTTTATTTCCTTTTTGCTCGATAGTATAATAACCTCCTGTGAACAAATCAAATTTTATCGATTAGCGTGTGAACATAATAATTGATTATTGTCTATACACATTTTTTGTATCCACCACTTCCGTGGTCTTTCGTTTTATCATTCATATACATTAGCATTGATTGAATTTGTTTTTACTGTCTCAGAGCATTATACTTGGATGTTTTAAATACAATTATTATTGCTCATAAATGTTGTGTTGTAATATATCATAACTCATAATGAGTTGTAAATTGATGAGAAGTATAGAAATTATTTGTTGTAACCTATAAGTATTAAGTTGTAATGACATTTAATGTAATAATTGATTGTTTTATTTTTGTTTCGGTGTATGAGAGCAATACAATGTATAAATCATGTTTGTAACTGAAAATATTGTTTTTTTGACAAATATTGTTTGCTTATATTATTATAGCATGTCCCATTTTGGGGTAATAAAATAATTTTGTTAGTTAATTCTTAATCAGTTGCGTGTTTTTTCCGCTAAAACAAATAATTTATATATAACTATTTGCTTTCATGGTCAAAAAACAAATTCTGAAATAATTGTTTTTTTTTATATATGTATATTACAGGATAACATTAAAATAAAATTATAGTATTTCTATGTCAATTATAAGTTCATTATAGTCTTTTAGCGTGTTTTTTTTTTAAAAATTAATTTCACATGAATGCATTTATTTTCAAGACTTATACTACCAATTATAAATTATCGTATTTTCAATCCAAAGAGATTTCATTTTTTTTTAAATGCACTCACATTTTAGAGTGCATTTTCCATTCACGTTGTTCACGGATATTATAATGTATTTCAAAATCGTTTTACAGCAATGTTATATCCGGAAATAATTGTTATCTGAATATTTAGCTGCACGAGTGGTCTATATTATACTGTTACGGGGAAAATCAGGAATATCCGTTCTCTGTAATAGATTTCTGAACACAGAAACAAACAGAACCTGTGCGTGGCGTCGTCGATCGTCGATCGTTGTGACCCGAAAGGATAAAATTTGATGCGATCGTAATTTATTTGATTATGATTTGTAATACTTTATTCGCGGACTTGTAATGAAAATTAAATAAAAAAAGACTTTAATAAAATACATGTCGGCTACTTATTACGCTATAGTAACACGCTATAGCTGTAAAACACTCAAACCGACACACCTTTAAATTTGTTTTGATGGCTATTGTCACTGATAGCGTAATCCACGTACAATCAAAACATATAATAATCATGAAAAAAAAAAACTGAGAATACATCAAATTATATTAGAGACGTACCATCAAGTACATGTCGTTCAAAAGAAGTTTGATTTAGAGCATTAATTCAAATAGATTTTTGACTCGTCAACAATCAAAAGTTAAATATTTTACAAATATGATGTTTTACTCATATTTAATTACATGTTATAAATATCTTGTATACGTTTATAATTGTATACATATTGTATGTACCTGTCTAGTATTGACTTTTATTTATTGATTTGTGTAACAATTGTAACACAATTTTCCAGTTGAGATTATTGAAAGTAGAACTATATAGGTATACAACAGATAGATAATCTGTTTATTATGGTAAAATTAATTCTTCAAGGTCAGTAAAAATATTTCAGATCAAATCATAAAAAGCAGAACGCTGTTCCGCACAATTGTATATTATGAAAACCACGAGGTAGAAAAAAATTCCATTTTTTTTTTAAACTCTATACTAACAATTACGATTGAATCCGGAATGGGTCATAGGTATCAGTACGTGATTATATAATATTGTGCAGCAAGGTATATTTGCACAATTTTTTAACGATTTTTACATACAATTTCGGAAGCGCAATAGCAGACCTGCAGTAATGTAGTGTATATTTTTTTAAATTTTTTTTATTTAACTTAAGCACGGCTGCTATGGCCATTAGCTGTTGTAGGGGACTGTGAAGTGTAGTCGGTAAGGTTGGTACGGTTGTTACGGTAGGCAAGAAAACACGTGTATGGGGGCAAGGTTTTTACTTATACGAACCCTAGTGGTCACCCATCCGGGAACTAGCAGCAGCGGGTGTTACTTACTCAAAGTCGCATTCCGCAACAGGTAGCAGACAACGCTCTGCGTCAAGCCACGTACTGTGTTTCATAATTATATTATTGTCGGAGACAAAAAAAAAAAAAAAAACGCTACACTGCCAAACATCGCCTAATATTGGATCAACGCATACAGCGATGAGAAATCTGATGATAATAATATATTATATTTTATGAACGCCGTCGAGGAAGAATTTTCAGATGTACGAATGTAAAATCCTATGAATTCGTTCGCTATGATGATGATATTAATATAATTTCGACAATTTGTGGCGACAAGATAAGTTTGAGTGTGGGCAATCAGGTAGGCGGCGGCGCCCCCATGGGAACGTCCTGAGGAATATTATTATTACAATTATTATGCGTTGTTACGTTTTGACACGGGCGAGTGCCATGCAATTTCGACCGCCATTGCAATCCAGAAATTCCCTCAGAAGAAAACGCGTGGGTATATCGAAAGGACGAAATTCAATCATAAACCGAAATAGAAATTTAACAATCACGACTGTCGCGGTGTTTGTGGTTGGAGGGGTTGACGGAGCTTCTAACAAAATCGTCTTCCGGCCTTATTGTTTTATTATTATTTTAAATGAATTTTCGTCGGAACGTCTCAGTATCGATCTTTCACCCTCCATTTTATATATTATATAAATTATTAAAAATGCCTTAAAAAAAAAAAAAAAATACTGTATCAACGAAGTTTAGACGATTCGTCATTAAAACTTTATATACTAATAATAAAAATAAAAATAAAATTAGTGATAACGCAACTGCCACCACACAATAAAAACCAAATAAAGGTTGAACCACCCCACTAACCCGAAACCACATTCTTTAAACCATGTTAACCACAACATCAAATTCACGCATTTATAATATGTTATTACTATTATTAACTATCATATATTTTATACCTACTGAAATTCGAGCTAAGAAATGAACTAAGCAATATTTGGATGTATTTCGGAAAAACAGTTAACAAATTAAGTAAAATTTATATGAAAAGCAGTTATTCAGTGGTTGCATAGGAGTGTAGATAGTGTGAGGACCAACTAAGTTCAACAACAATAGTTAAATTATATGATATTGGAACGATTCACATTTACATGACTCGCTGATTAATATTAATTTCGGCATGGATAACATTGCTCTATCGTAATAAAATAATATAATTTTACTTAAAAGTATCAAGTATTTATTATAAAAAAAAGAAAATTACTTAAAAATATAATAATATGCTATTTTTTTTTTATATTTCCAGGGACGATAATTTCACTGCTTGATTCTCTGAAAATCCATGAAATCGATCCCGTTTCTGGAAATCTCAGGGAGTACTATAATAATAATTTATTTATTGTAACCAAACATAATATATACATTAAACATGTTAATTAAATAAAAGTTACTAGTCCCCTATAAGCTATAGTAACCATAGTTCCGATTTTTATTCCGATGTTATCCATGTTCAAGCATAGAACAATTAGTGTACTTGTAAACATTTTATGACATACTTTTAGTCGTGATTAATTCATCTGTGCTATTAAAAATAAATGATCATTACATCAGTCCGTTCCATCAAACCACTCGTATACTATTAGAATCGTGTTTTGTGTTATTTAAAATTTTCATTTTTTTTTTCAGCCATCCCACTCGGTCGTACAACGACACAGGATCATACGAGTAATAGTGTAGGGGTAAAATATAGTATATATTAAAATAATAACAATAATAAACAATTTACTGCGGCACAATGTTACATCGATATCCGTTCGTATAATATAATATATAGTTTAACGTTTCGGCGTTGTAAACCTTCGCATTATAAATTATAACAATATATTATGGTGTAGCGTTGACAGCCCCAAACGACTAACGGACGCATACGAACTCCTATATAAGGAATAAGTCAATAATTTAATACATGACTCTGCAGGGTTAGGTTAGATTTTACAGTCAGTATTTTTCACTTACATTTTCTGTGTTTCGGAAAGGCATAGCTGAAAAACATTATCATTTCCAAATATTTCGAGGTTATTTAGTTCTTCATTTTTTCTTTTTTTAATCGAAAATTATATTTTTAAACGTGATGGTTTCGTCGTATTTTTAGGGATTTAACGTTTCACGTCGTATCTAATAATAAAATATGTTATTAAATAATATTATTGAGTCTAATAATTGAAAAAAATTACAGTGATAAACAAAATATTAATATAAAAAAATTTTCAAATTAAACACTCGAAAAGATTTGAATGATATAAGCAGGCGCTAGCCAATCCGATGCGCTTAAGGCACAAACAGACACAAATAAGCTGTGATTTTCGAGACGAACGGAATTATTCCCCCTAAGCCCGTCACATTAAATTACAATTGTACACATATGGTAGAGATCACAGTCATGGCAAGGGTAAATACGTGACGTTCCGGCCACGAAGTCTGATGGACGAACGGACTGGTATTTTCGTGTCGCAGTAATTTCGGTGTGCGTATGCCACGTCGTCGTCATGTAATATTATGCTTTAAAATAGAAAGGAAATATCAATGGTCCGTCTGTCGGATGCCCACGAATACGAACGAGAAGTCGGAATAAACCCAAACAAATCGGGCGTGACCTATGAACGACGAGCGATTTTTTCAACCTCCAACCCACCTTATATATTGTCTTATATATTTGTCGGATACGACCGCGTCCGATCTTTTCCGCGTTGCACTCGTTATCGTCGTCCATTGCCATCCTTTTTTTTGTTTTCGGTTCGTTTTATATTTTATAGCACCACC